AATATGATGGTTCAAATCACTTCTAAAATGTAACCACTAAGAGACGTTGATCAAATAGTAGGTAAGTATATGACTGTACTGTTGGATGCCGATATGTCAGCTGGGGATCACATCTTAGCTAAATTGAGGAAAGCCTGATTGAGTGGAGAGGGGCCATCACTACAAAAAAAAGGTTCATTACCGACCAAATTTTTCCGAGGGCTCCCAAATTCCCTCAGTAAAAGTGTTTTTTTCGACGAAAAAATGTTGTCCGTTGGAAATATGTCATGGAACTGGAATTTATTTCCGACAAAGGAACGACCCTCGAAAAAAGTCTCTATGGTCGTCGGAAATGTAATTTATTTGGCGGGAAAACTTGGCGCCAACTTTATTAACGACAAAAATTATGTTTGTCGGAAATAAAATGATTATTTTCGAGGGGATTCTCATCTCGTCGTCATTGTTTGACTATTTCCGAGAAGAAATATGTCCGCTCGGTGATGCTGTTATATTTACGACCAAACACATCCTCATCGGTAATAGTTGTGCTTGTTTCTGAGGGCATATTCGCTTTTGTCGGAATAATATAACTATTTTCGAGGGCAACATAGGGTTGTCGGTAATAATATTTCTATTTTACAAGGGGAATTAGCAGCCGTCAAAAATGATTATCTTAACAAATTTATAACAAATTAAATAAAAAATAAGAAAAATACACCGAAAAAAGCTATGCATTCCTTACAACAAATCCTTCGATTTTAAAGGTCTAAAATCATGATTCTACATAATTGAGGGATCAAAGAAGCAAGAGTGTTAGCTTATCAAACGTTAATTAGCGTTTGGTGTGTTTACAAACTAATTAAAGTTTTTGTTGTCACTTTGAAATTTTATAAGTAAAAGTAATATTTTCAAAGCTTTAGGACGAAGAGAATGTCACTAGGAGTTCATATGAATTTTCAATGGATTTTTCAAATTTTTAATGTATTTATTATGATTTATAGGTGTGAAATCATATAAAATCCATATTAAACTGAATTGAGTGACAAGTCGCAACTTCTTACAGGTGCTTTTTCTGTTGGTGATGTGTGTCATCATACCACAGCTCCACATGTCATTTTTCTTACTTTTTTGTTGTTTATCTTAAAAAATTCATAACAGATTAAATAAAAATTTGAAAAATACAACGAACAAAGCTACACACTCCTTATGACAAATCCTTTAATTTTAGAAGTCTAAAATTATGATTCCACATAATTGAGTTCAAAGTAATTGGATCAAAGAAGCAAGAGCATTAGGTTATCAAATATTAACTAGTGTTTGGTTTGCTTACAATCTAATTTGAGTTTTGGTTGTCATTTTGAATTTTTATAA